GTTTGAATTTTAAACTGCCTGTGGTGGTGTTTTTTGTTTTGTTTTTCCTAATTAATTGGAGATAAGATGGGCTGGGAAGGTGGCTCAGTGGTAGAATGCTTGCCTTGCATGCATGAGGCCCTGGGTTCAATTCCTCAGCACCACATAAGCAGAAAAAGCCAGAAGGGGCACTATGGCTCCTGTGGTAGAGCGCTAGCCTTGAGCTGAAGAGGTGAGGGACGGTGCCCTGGCCCTGAGTTCAGGCCCCATGACTGGCCAAAACAACAAACAAAAAAGACTCTTTTTTTGTTGTTGGTCGTGGAGCTTGAACTCTGGACCTAGGCGCTGTCCCTCAGCTCTTAAAAACTTCCCTGCCTTGGTTGGCTTCTAGCACCAAGATCCTCAGATCTCAACCTCCTGAGTAGGTAGAATTACAGGTGGGAGCCACCAACACTTGGCTAAGCAGTAACTTTTTTTTTTTTTTCCTGGTCCTGGGGCTTGGGCACTGTCCCTGAGGTGGGGGGGGGGGTTTCGGTTGTGGGGTCTGAACTCTGGGCCTGGGTGTTGTCCCTCAGCTCTTCAGCTCAAGGCTAGCGCTCTACCACTTGAGCCACTTCCGGCTTTTTTCTTTTTTGCTTCTGTGGTGCTGAGGAATCGAACCCAGGGCCTCATGCATGCAAGGCAAGTGCTCTACCACCGAGCCACCTTCCCAGCCCTACAGTGCCACTTTTAAGCAGTAACTTTTGTTATCCCTGAGCAAAAACACACCTTAAACACCCCTGCCACCTATTCACACCAGAGTCATAGACTTTGAGCACTGTGTGACCTAATTACTTATTTAGGACAGTGGCAAATGCCATAAAGAAAAATGGAGAATAGTAGGAACTAAAATGCAGCAGAATTCCTTCCCCCATGGAAGTAGTTCTGATTCCCTATTAAGTATGAATTCTCTGCCAGGGTTCAATCTCCAGAACTACAAAGAAAAAGAAAAACAACTTTATTCTCCAGGCCCTACAGGGATAATATTTGGAGGCTTCCCTTCTTGCTTTCCCCCGGTTTTGGAAGCCTCTACTCTTCTTTTCTCCCATAGATTCTGTGGCTCCCAAGGGCATCTGCTCCTGCACCTGGGGTTTAATTGCTATACTCCACTCCCTGAAAACTCAATTTTAGAGGACCCTGTCAACATGGAGGCTTAAACAGCTCAAGGGCATAGTGCAAATGGAGAACAGAGGCACAGAAAAGCGCTGGGGTTTTGTTTTTTCCAGGCAGGTGGCTGAAGAGTCCACACTCTAATCACGTGACTATCCTAGCTGCAGCAACTCAAAGTTACATTATTTCAGTCTAGAAGAAATAATTCGAAAAATGAATTAAGCCTAGCTAGGCATGGTGGCACATGCCTGTAATCCCAGTCCTCAGGAGGCTGAGGCAGAAGAAGGATTGAAAGTCTGAGGTTACATAATAAGACTGGTCTTGGATTTGATTTTATTTTTTATTTATTTTTCTTTATTTTTTGGGGGTCCGGTCATGGGGCCTGAACTCTGGGCCTAGGCGCTGTCCCTCAGCTCTTCAGCTCAAGGCTAGCACTCTACCACTTGAGCCACAGCGCCACTTC